ATTATATTTATTATATTTAATGTAATTATTGATATTTTACATAGAATATATTTTATATAAACAATTAGTCATCTCTTCCTGCTCCCAGTGAATGTGTAGTAGATGCCAGATAACAGTGGAAATATTGCATTTATTTAATCAGTGTACTGCACTGCACTTAGTGTCAGAAAAATGATGATTCATTGTCATTTAAACAATTTGTAATTGCGCAGCATTTAGTTTACAAATAACTTATATAAATGATATATAATACATACAAATAAAAAATATTGATAAATGATGAACTAAATTACAAAATAATAATTATAATATTATTTACTATTTGGCAGGGGTAGAGTATGGGAATCTCTGCCATGGCCATCCAAATACCAAATAATAATATTCATATATTTGCCACTTCTTAAGCTGTTCATTTGGAAGCTATGCCCGGACGAAGGAAATTGAAGTTGCGGTGGATATCATATTTATTTGGACTAGAATCGGAGCAACGAACCAACCCATTTCCTTATGGTATATATACAGGTCTATATATAGTGTATATATCTTCTTTTTTTTTTTTGTGGTACTGTGGCACGCAAAGGAAATGAAATATGAAATAATTTATGAAATAAGACGGTTACAGCCGAAGCGTTAGGGTTGTGCAGTCAAAATTTATGTTTGTGCTGCCAGATAGCCGTAAGAGGGTCTGTGGGAAAGCGACTTTCTGATGGCTCACTTATTGTTATTGTTATTGCAAGCGTTAAGTTTTTGGCTTTATTAAAGTCAGAGCAAAAGTTGAGAGCTGACATGCTGAAGGCAACACAAGAGAAAATGAAGAGCAGCAAAACAAGCGGAAATATATTTCCATTTGCACTTGAAGACTGTATTCGACGTGGAGATACCCTAGGTAATGAACATTTAAAATGATTGCTTAACTTTTTTCAAGAATATAAATTTTAAAATTATAGTTTGCTGAAATATCAAAATATTTATTAAACTCATTTTATTCTCATTTGCCATGGAACTTTAAATGTAAGTTCAGTCTAACTTCATTTCATGTGGGGCAAGAGCCCCATCACAGCGCTAGACTGCATTGGTAGGGTATATCCTGACTAGTCCAGCCAGTGTAACATGCAACAAAAGCTGGCAACAGACTGCTCTTGCAAAATGAAGTGTGTGAAAACGAGTCCATTTATTATTGTTGCCGGAGTGCAGAAAAAAGAGGCAACAGCAAGAAAAACAAGTCATGTTTCCGACAGCCGTTGTCATCTGTACCGAATTTGCAGAAACCCTGTCATAAGACCCAGCTAACAAAAAACCGCAAAATGATGAACTTTTCTTCTTTTTTCAAATTAAAGACACAGCTGGCTGAACGAGGGCCACACCCCAAAACTATGCAACAAATTGTGGTATCTGTGTGTGGCATATTATGCATACGCCGTGTGGCCGGCCTGCATTGCTAACGTTACTAAATGTTTTAAGTTCATTCTTTGTTTTAGAATGAATATTTTCCATCGACTTTTGCCAAACTTAAGAACTGGGCGAGAGTTTATAACAAATATTAAGACGACTAATTGGCTTTTATGTTACTTTCGTAGTTGATTTATATTTCATATTGACTGATACAATTTTTGTCAAAAACTTTACAGCTCTGGCATTGAAAGTTTGTCGATTTTTATTTGATTTTTTAATTTGATAACTTAGCCATTTCATCATTCGCAAAGTTTTTGCGGTAGACCGCACAGAACTGTTTGCATCTAATCGAATTGCCATGTTGACTGACGACCTTTTATGCACACAGGCACAAGAACACAGATTGGCTTTCAGTCGGAAATCAAAGCATATTTTCCTTGCATATAGCGCACAAAAATATGTAAAAATTGCAGTTTTTAGCTATGTTTTTATATGGGGAACAAAGTGCCAAATATAGCATTTTACATTTATTGTGCCTCCCACACGAACACACACACACACACACACACACACACACACACACGTATCCACTTATGGCTACACACGCAGTTGCAATGGAAAATTGAAATTGTTTGCAGAGTTTCATTTGCGACCAAAAACAGTTTCACGCTAGCCAATTTTTAACGATGTGTTAGAGATGAGCGCATGGCGATAGTTGCATGCGATGTAGACGCTTAGAGCTTCTGCTCAATAAAGTGGAAATGGTAAGAGCAAAGTTCTCATAAGGATATAATTTGTTTCTCCAAAAACTTCAGCTAATATACTACTCTACTCTAATGTACTTCGCTTGAACTGCAAAAGTTGTTTTCAATTAATATGAACATTGAACAAGCAACTCATCTGGACTGTCCAACTCACTTGGAATTTTCACCGTCATTGCACATATGACTCATCTCTAGTTGTGAAGTGGCTTTCCAACACGTGAAGCTTATTGCATTTTAATGAATTTTACTACCGAGAAATTTGGTATTTGCTAAAGCGTTTTTAATTGTTTTCTCAGTCGATTGGTTTATATGCACTTTGCCAGATTGCATTTGGCATTGCTATGGGTTGGGATCTTGTGACGTTTCAAAGCGCAGCAAACGCTTAGAGCGGTTGCCCAGGGTTGTAAATAGATCAGAGCTCGCTCTTTGTTTGCTGCCTCATAAATATTTATGAATATTTTGAGTGCGATGCAAAACCAGCGTTATAATAAAGCATAAAATTGCAGGAAAAGGAAAGAAAATAATGGAAATGCCAAGCAAAGCGCAGCGCAATCAAATCAGCCAGAAGAGGCGAATATGGAAATGGTTGCGCAAAGAAAAGAAGAGAGAACCAAAATATCAAGTGAAAGGAAAATTCTTTGAAAACCAAAAGCAGCAGCAGCAGTTGCAGTGGGAGCAGCAGCAGTAGTGTAAATAAAAACTCCATTGACAATAAGCAGACACAGCATGCATTGAGCTGTACCGTACAAAAAATTCCAATTCGAATTTACATTTACTTGGAATTTAATCAATTTTAAAATTGAGATAACGTAAAATTATGATGCTAAACAGCTATAAGAGCTATTATTCACTCTGTACGATTTAAGTTTGCATATCCTTAAACCAAGATTTGATAGCTTAACTATTTACGACATATTTTAAGTATGGGCTATTAAGTAGAACCCTCAATATTTGCCTTTTCACCTCGGGCTAATTTTTTGCATATCGTTTCGGTTCGTTAAACTCCTTTTCCACATCACTGTATCAAGATTTAATTTCAGCTTGACAAATATATACAGAATAAAATCAAAATATGTAATTTTTTTTAAATATGGAAATTTCTTTAAATATTTGTTTTCTAATTGCTCACTTTCAATTAAGTTGACCAATTTCATTGATTTTTTCTTTCAATTTCAACGGTATGCCGTTATGGCATATGCCCCCATCTGCAAGATTTATGTTTAAGTGAATCTTTTACCGTTCGCAATTGCCGCATAAAATTTGCATTTCTTCTGTTGACACAATTGCGAATGCACCATAAAGTTTGCCCCGCAATGATAGCGACCCAAACCAAAACCCACACACACACACGCGCACACACATACACACACACGTACATATACGAGTATCTGCATATGGTATGCTTTGGCCAAGTGGTGCACTCTCCCTCCCTCTCTCTCTCTCTCTCTTGCTGTCCTTCTCTCCTGCTTTTGTTATTGCTGCATTGAGGCACGTTGGCTCGTTGGTTGGCCGTGGCTGCTCCTGCCATAGCTTTAAGCTCGCTTTGTGCCGGATATTTACGATTTACACGTATGCGAAACGCAGCGACAACGGCAAGGGACACTGCTGCAACGACTGTCGTTGCTGCTGCTGTTGTAGTTGTTGTTGTTGAGCGCTGCTGGCGGGCGTTAATGGCATCATGTTGTTGCCTGACAACAATAAGAAAAAACACAGCAGGGCAAATTTGCGCCAGCTGCAGTATGGTGGGTAACTGTGAATACCCAGCAAATGTGTTAGGTAAGTAGACCTTCAGCTAGCTCTTACTTCAAGATGCATTACAAGCTTGCCAGTGGGTTGATAATGCCCCACGCTAGCAGCGACTACAGGGTATACAGATAACAATGGTGCACCAAACAAGCCTATGGCAAATAGTGCGCAATGCGCCGGCTCCTTCAAGTATGCAGCAGGAGTTGGCTTGACAATTATTGTGATGATGCCATTGAAATTCAATTTCGTATGCTGCGTGCGCCACAGACCCCAAGTCCCAGAGGGCCAAAAGAAAAGTGACCACTGCGTCCTTTTGTGCTGCTCTCTGCACCGTTCTCTACGCCAACTGAAATGCTCCGCAAAATACAATATGAGTTGTGGTCCAGCTCCCGTTTTTATGGCTCTGCCAGTGCAGCAGATTTTTGATTTATTGCTCTGGATGCAGGATGAGCTTCTCCCTAGCCGAATGCGGGCAAGGTACGCATATTTGCGAGCAAGAGACAGTTTTTAAATTTCAATTAGCTCTTTGGTATTTGCCAGCCCAGTCAAACAAAAAAGCATTGGGATTGACAAAACATGCTTGACGACTGCAGCGCGGACGCAGATGTAGATGGGATGTTATTGAAAGTCAGCAGGCGACGGGCGACAGGAAGACAGAGAGACAGAGTCAGGTTGAGAATGTGCCAGTCTTGCGTACTTATATGTAACTAGGACAGCAGACATTTCAAGCATCTAGCAAGGCTTCAGATTCTGTGACTCTGTGACTATACTTGATACTACTCTAGCTAGCAAGAAATAATAGTTTACCACTTCACAGCTCTAAATATTTTAACAGATTTTAAGAGAGTTTAAATATTGTATGTAAAAAGAAAAAAAATGTATTTTCATGTGAAAAACTGCCTATCTTAGGGCTTACTAACAATTAATGATTTGGCATATCGAAGCGGGAGACC